ATAACCGTAGCAACAGACCTCAGATGAGCCCAGACGCTCTGCGGCTCTTGTTATAGATCTATTTTGTATGAGCTTCAACTAACCTATTAAAACTAAACTAAACTATTAAAAATAACAGTAAATATTATTAAATTGGTAATACATGTATATTAAAAATTATTCACAAAAAAATAAGGAATTGCTATACACGTGCACTAAATGTGTTGTGAAAAAACTCACTGTTGTACTAATTATAGTGAAACACCTGTATCACCTGTATCATGTGATCGTGTGATCACAGGCATACGTGTATACACGTCTTAGATACAAACAAAGTCAATTTAAGCCCAATGGCCAGCATATCATTCTCCCAATAGCATTGTCCTGCAGTTTTCTATGAGCTAGTACACGATCAACTGTTGTGCAAATACTAAACCAGTATTTGTTTTCTGGCAAGTAAACAATAGATTATTGAGTATATAGATTATATATATATATATATAATCATGATATCCCGATATATAACATGTAATGAGATGTATATGGGTATCGATAGCGTAACCACACTACAGTGCATGACTAGACTTGAGGATGTAGTTCATTCTGTGACCAACAAGAATGTCGTTAGGAAGTCCAGAATAATAACGATGGGCAGTGATTTGATCACTTGTTTCACGCCTTGCAGGAGAGAGGGCGCTGTACAGCGGTGGTGGGTACGTCGTCGAGTTTCCGCGTCACCGTGACAACGTCACGCGGCTGCTGGATGGGCTGATGGCGAGTAACTGGGTGGATGAGCGCACGGGTGCAGTGCTCGTAGAACTCACCGTGTACAATGCCAACGTTAACCTGTTCAGGTACGCGGCTGCTTCGTCTCGGCGATGTCCGTTTCTCCACAGCATTGTCGTGGTAACGCATGTTTCTGCAACATTGTGGTGCTGTTTTCTCACAATGTTTTTCTCTGCAGCGTCTTCATGACAGTGCATATTTACGAAGCGTCACGCTGATACCCGTTTCTTGGCAACGTTGCTATGGTAACACGATTTTTCCACCGCATCGTTTTGCTGACATCCGTTCCTCTGCCATGCCATCTCTTTCTCTGTACCGTCGCTGTGGCAACGCGATTTTCTCTTCCGCAGCATCGTCCTGCTGATGGTGGAGTTTGGCTCCGAGGGTGCCGTCACGCCCTACCACCAGATCTTCACCGTCGACCTCATCAAGTACGTCGGTGGCGCCCCCGAGTGGTTCCCGATTGCGTGCGAGTCGCTCTTCATCGTCTTCGTGCTCATCTTCGTGTGGCGTGAGGGCGTCGCCATCGTCGGGGCCGGCCCGCGCGCGTACTTCGGCGAGGCGTGGAACTGCGCAGAGTTTGCGATCGTGTCGCTGTGCGTCGTCGCGGCAGCGCTGTTCGTGAAGCGCTCGCTTGCCGTCTCCGACGTACTCGAGGTGAGAGGGCGCCACTGTTGTCGGTGCGCGACTATAGCTGTGTCGCGGTGCACGTGTCGTTACGTTAAAATATCGCGTATTGTGTTTTGTCGTGGTATATCGTGTTATCGTATTGTGATATATCGCGTTATGTTATGTTGTGTTATGTTGTGTTATGTTGTGTGATATCTTGTTGTCTTGCTGTGTGTGTGTTGGGGGAGGGGGGTTGTGCATGTAGAGAATCACAAGATCACAATATCTATATTTTTACCTTCTCATCAGTAAACCTTGATGTCTATCTGCTCTTCAATAATTGGTCTGTGACCTCTCTCTTTCTGAATCTCTCTTTCCCTCTCTGCCTCTCTCTTTTGTCTTTTTTCTTTACCTCCCTTCCTCCCTCTCTCTCTCTTTCTCCCTTCTTCCCTCCCCCCTCTGTTTCCGAATGTAACGGTGCTTTCTGCTTACAGCTGTCGCTCCCGGCCCGCTGTGCTCTGTGTAACGTGCTTACTGCTTACAGCTGTCGTCCGGTACCCGCTGCTGTCTCCGGTACACGTCTTACTGCTTACAGCTGTCGTCCGGCCCGCTGCTTGGTTCCGTGTAACGTACTACTGCTTACAGCTGTCGTCGCGGCTCGCTGCGCTCTGCCTCCGTGTAACGTGCTTACTGGCTTACAGCTGTGTCCGGTCCCTGCTGTGTCTCCATGTAACGTGCTTACTGCTTACAAGCTGTCGTCGCTGCCCACTGCTTGTGCTCTGTTGTAATGTGCTTACTGCCCTTACAGCTGTCGTCCTTGCCCACTGCTTGTCTCTGTGTAACGTAACCTTACTGCATAGCAGCTGTCGTCCGGCCCGCTGCTTGCCTGCGATGTTAACGTGCTGGTGATGCTTACAGCCGTCGTCCGGGCCCGCTGCTTGGCCTGCCGTTAACGTGCTTACCTGCTTACAGCTGTCGTCCGGCGCCTGCTTGTCTCGCGGTAACGTGCTTAACGCTTACAGCTTCGTCCGGCCACCGCTGCCTGTCTCCGTGTAAACGTGCTTACTGCTTACAGCTGTCGTTCCGGCCCGTGCTTGCTCTCTGTGTAACGGTGCATACTGCTTACAGCTGTCGGTCGGCCCGCTGCTGGTTCTCTGTTACGTGCTTAACTGCTTACAGCGTGTCGTCCGGCCCGCTGCTTGTTCTCTGTGTAACGTGCTTACTGGCTTACAGCTGTCGTCCGCGCCCGCTGCCTGTTGTCTCTGTGTAACAGTGCTTACGCTTAACAGCTTGTCGTCCGGCAACCGCTGCTTGCCTCCGCGTAACGCGCTTACTGCTTATCAGGCTGTCGTCCGGCCCGCCTGCTTGTCTCCATGTAAGGCGTGCTTACTTGCTTACAGCTGCTCGACTCCGGGCCCTGCTTGCTCTCTGTGTAACGTGCTTTGCCTCTTACAGCCTGTCGTCCGGCGCCGCCGCTGCTGCTCTTGTGTAAACGTGCCTTCACTGCTATACAGCTGTCGTCCGCCCGCGCTTGCACTCTCGATTAACCGTGCCTTACGCTTACAGCTGTCGTTCGGGCCCTCTACTTGCCTCGTCTCCGTCT